TAAACTCCATAACGACACTAGTGATATCTGCCGAACTATTTGAGCTTTAAGCGTGGGATTTTTACAGCATGCACTTTTCGTGGAGCGCTGATAGATGGCGTTGTTAACTCAATTTCTCCAAATTTCGTATAGTGACGGTTTGATTATGAACGTGCGATATATATACAACGTGTCCCAAAATTCAAGGATAAGCCGGCGCCGCAGGATGCACGTAGTCATAAATACTTTAGGAAAAATAAGAAAAAAAATCTATCTCAATTATTTTTTAAGTTACACAATAAATTATGAAATTCGTCGAAAATTGACACTCCTTATGATATTTTACATTACCACGACTACAATTTTTCAAATACTTCCGTTTTTTTGTTTGTATCGGCAACTTAAGTAGTGCTGCTGTCCACTCCAATTCTTAAAATCCCCAGAATCCTTGCAGTTTTTACACAAAAGTTAATCAAAATAAGATATTTCCTTAAAATTTTGAACGATTTTTACTTTCACTCCACTTTGACTCGTCGTTTTGTAAAAAAACAGTATGAACACTACTGCGGCAAGTTTATTATAAAGTTGACGCAACTATCCAAGATTCCAAAATGGTATAATACTCTAAGAAAACTAGTCGCAAAAAAGATTAGCGTACCATTTTTNTATATATATATATATTTTTTTTTTTTTTTAAAGAATATTAGTAATTTGTTATTACACAAATTACTAATATTCCCGTTAGCCCCTCGTACTAAGCTAAATATGCTTGTGTCACGAGTGAGCTCACCACAATAGTCGAGCGGCGGCGGGGACCGAACCCGCGTTCCCCGGATCACGAGTCGGCTAGTCCGACCCCTTCACCGTTCGGCTATCGTGGCTTCTAATTGTCTGATTGGTAGCGCTAGCGGCTTGCATCCAGTGCTTTCCTGCGTCCTACCTCTTCGTGCATCATGTGGATGGACATCTTACGCTGCACTTTTCGGTACGTGGCCTCCATTTCAGAACCCTGCTTGGTTACAATAGTTACTAGTAAAAGTAAACAAATGAAATGAAAAACCGCCATGTAACTGTGAAATACTTAATATTATTAATAAATAAATAATATGTTCCTTGGCTTTAAATCCGACAGTAAATTACAAAAAAGGCGAACTAAATACTAAAAGCAAATCTTATGACTCTCATTTGAACTTGGATTAGTTAATAATTTTACGTAAATTTTCTTGTTGATGGCAGCCCTAGACTAAACAAACGAGCTTGTATGTTAGCGCGGTACTCATGACGTCATAACTTGCGCGCGGCTGCGGACGACTTTTATCAGACAAATGGATGGGAACTATGTATCTGGTATCTAACCACTGGTGTATAACTCCCCTTAACCCTTAATTTGGCAGACTCAATATTTATCAAAAAAGAAAAATACATCGTCGGATTTATGTTCTTAGGGTTATTTATAGGTCAGAAAAAAATATATAAAAAATCGGAACTTCACCAAATAGAAAAAAAAACAATGTTCATCCCGATGAACACTGCCAAATATATGGAGAATTTTAACTGTTCATTGGGGTGAACATTGCCAATTTAGGGTAGCGGCATTAAATTAAAATAATTATTCATATAAAAAGTAAAATTTATATTATTAACCGCTTTTTGGTGCACAAAATAGTAAGAAATTAACTATTACCATACAATTTTGTGTGATCGTTGAGGTAAAACAATGTTTAATGTTTTTAAAGAAAAAATCATAATTTTTTGTTCATGTAACTTAAAAGTGGACAAGTCGCACTAAATAATAAAAAAACAGATCCCACATTTATAAAATATATTCTTCAGGGTTTAAATAAAAAAGTAAAAATGATTTTAATCAAAAATATTATTTGGAACTACAAACTTTGAATCTACAAACAACCACTAAATTAAAATATGTAATTATTTTGCATGAAAATATAGAAAACAATTATGTCCACTTTTACCAGTAACAAAACATTATTCTGATATTACATTTCATGCAATATACAGTATTAAGCTGCCAACATCCCAAACAAAATAAAAAAATCCTCTAAATAAAGAAATTAGTCCACTGAAATAAAATTAAGCAAAAATAAACGTTTCATAGCCTATTTGACAACGTTCACTGGGATGAACAATCAAAGATTATTAGTAATTTGGCAATGTTCACTGGGATGAACACTCGACTTTGAACTAGTATAACATGGCTTATTTATTAAATGAGCATTGTAAATCAATCAAGTTATTAAGCATGAACACTATGCAATACGTTAAAACCACTGTCATTACTCAATTATAATAAAAAACATGTAAAGCTTGAATAAACACCTTGACACTAAAGCTTGGTCGTCGCTATGGCCGGCATTTTGGCTAAAATTAACACTTTCAGACTGTGACTGGCACATAAAAATATTTTTCTACCAAAACTTAAGTATATTTTCTAGTGAAAAAAAAACTTACCAGAAATTAAGACGTCTATGCACTCGGCATATTATTTTTTCAATTGAATATTCATCCCAGTGAACAAAATCAAATGAAGGGTTAAAGAAGACGAACTTACATTGTGATGAAAATGTAAAGAAACCTTTCAACTTTTGAAATTTTTACAAAATATGAAAATAAGTTACGAGTAGATACTTACTAGTATATTATAATTTAAATGTAGTTTGTGGGAGGTAGGTGCAAGACTTTACCACCTTTCCTTTTATTGTACCATGTTATTCGATAAAAATATACAGGGTGTTAGGTAAATGGGTATAGGAGCCGACACTAGCCCATGTTAACATGGTCATATAAATGGTATGGTGAAGTCAGAAATTTGATATCATCATTTTATTTTTTTTTAATTTTCATAGAAAATAAATTTTATAAAATCCGATTAGTATGGAAATTAAAATAATTAAAATGAATATATTAATTTTCTGACTTCACCATACCATTTATATGACCATGTTAACATGGGCTAGTTAAGTGTCGGCTCATATACCCATTTACCTAACATGCTGTATAGCAAATAATTACATCCAAATTATCTGGAAAGAACAGACGTAGAGTTAATTTGAACCTTGTTTTGTATATCATTATAAACAAGCATTAAACAATCAAACACATTTGAAATTTGGTTAGTTCATAGACTATTGCCACTACTGGTCTACAGGTATTAAAGAAAAGACGATCGCCATATTTTATAACCTCTTTTTTAACCGTGGGTTACCAGTGTAACAAACACTACGGCAATAAAAATCTAATGCACACATTTTCTAGTACCAAATAGTTTTAAAAGCGGTACTTAACCCTTAATTCGAAATAAGGGAAAGAGCAATCCGCACTCGGAGTTGCGCTTAGCGGTGACCTGTCCATTAATCAAGGCTCATGAGGGTGATGGATGACATCCCCCCTTCCCCCCTTCGGGGTCGGTAGTGGAATAGCTAAATCAAATGACTTTGGTCTGAATGTCGGCTAAATACCTGTATAGTAATAGTATAGAGAACCTTAGGAATCATGTATCATTCTATCGTACAACAGACTTATTTTTGTAACATTTAAGTTGTCAGCTGATATTACTTTGTGAGAAAAATAATTTCTATTAGGTACTCATAATTACGAGATGTTACAAGCTTCGGATATTATTAAAGGTAGAGAGGCAGTTTTGCAGTGTACAATTTAATCGTGATATAAAACTATTACCATGTCTACGTGCTAAAATTAACCCATCGACGCGATGCTTGAATCATATGAAAATAGCCCCACTTTCACATTCCTCTTTAAGCTTTATAATTCATATCCCTATGGATTTCACGGTATTCCTACCGTCCTACACTTAAGCTGGGTTGCATCATCTTACTTTAACTTTAACAAACATCAAAAGTCTGTCAATCTACATACACTGGTTATCGTTTTAGCTACGGTTAAAGTTTGGTGCAACTCCGTTTTAGTTGTTAGATTTCGCTGAACTCTAGGACTGATTAAATAAAAGAACCTACCGAACCCAAGTCCTGCCAGGATCAATAGACCCTCGGCCATTTTTTTACAAAAGCCCCAATAAATACGGGCGAATTTGAACTGGAGATCCAAACGAGACGACGAAATGAGCTCCATGTTCAGTTTATTGTCGCACTGAGGCCTATTCTGTGAAAAGTTTTAGGGATATTCGTCTCTGTGTGTCTCTTTCGCAGCTTAAAGGTATGGTAGTATGAATGAAAGAGATGGGAAGCGTCGATTAGCTAAATTGTTTTGTGGAAGACCCCATGTTCGATCTTAATTTTTCTTGAAGGAAGTATTAAGAGGTACTAGGTACCTAGTTAACCTTTATATCTTGATTTGTAATATGCAGTTTTTAGCTAAATAACTCTGTGGATCAACATGTCAGCTGTAATAACATTAAAAGAAAAAAAAAATAATTAGCATATTTTAAATATTCATGAGATAGCTGAGATTGTATTGTACAGTAGGGCTATAAATTGCTATGACTTGCATTAAAAAATACATACTGAAAAAACAAGAAAAACGCACGTGTTAACACACACTTACGCATTATATTAGCATAACAATAAACGTTCTCGAATCACTAATTTCTTTTGAAGCTTCTGTAAATCGGACCAATCAAATCCCAATTATTTGGCAGTCCCAAAAAACGCTGAACATTCACTGCGAAAGCTAAACCTAATGTAGTGATAATAGTCGCCCATCAAAAATCAATTCGAATACACGGGCAATAGGGTTGCCACCATGGTTTTCTATAAAAAATAGTACTATGTACGACGCGAAGCTAAATTTTCAGCATTTATTCCAAGACACTACCCTACTTATCAAATTATTACTTACTCATTTCAAACTCGGGTGATATCGAAACTAATATTCTCAGAGGCAGGTAATGATTTAAGCACTAAAGCCCGGTCTGTGAGCACGTAGAATTTTGTCCAATGACCCCAAGCTACCCACCCTTATCGCTCGCGCGTAATTATGTTGCTGTCGCGCTCTGTTACACCNCTCTACTCTATGCAACCAACTCTCAACTGTCACTGTTTTACGCCGAAGTGAACGAAAAAATAAAATTTTAGCGAAAAATACACAAAAAGGACAAAAAGTGAATTTATTTAGAAAGTCATACTTATTTGAAAGAAAATCAAAATGCTACGTAATTCTGTTAAATTATTTCAAAGAGCCAGTTGCTGTAGGCGCATCTGCGCTGCATCATTATTTAAGTAAAAGTTTTACAAATATTTATTTGCTGCACTTGTTTTGTTGTTTAAAAAAATATACTATTAGTTTTTAAAACACTAACGCTTATACTATATATTTTAGATACGACGATAAAAGGCTATTTAGTGGACTGCACAAGAATAATACTAGACTAAATGCGCATACATCGCCGCTCTACGCATGCCAATGTCGGAGCATGTTTATTCAGACTCAAGACACGCCGAATCCCAATAGCTTGAAGTTCTTACCGGGAACGAAGGTATTGGAGGCCGGGCAGACAATGGATTTCCCTAATATTGGTGCAGCACAGTGTAGTCCATTAGGTAAATATTTCATCTTTAATATTGTAAAAAAATTGTATTTAATTTATGGCTAAATATAACTCTACCTACTAAGGCAAACCCTGCTTAGTTCCTTATGTTCAGTTACAAAATATATTAGGCAAGATTCTTGACAATGGCCCAATCAAGAGGCCAAGTGTGATTTTAATTGCCTAAACTAACTAATCTAGGCTATTGTTCATGTATGTTATTGGACTTCTATTGTTATTTTACAGCCAAAATGATATTCAGAATAGAAGGTGTAAAAGCTGTGTTCTTCGGACCTGAATTTGTAACGGTTACAAAACAAGACGATGATGTTGAATGGAGAATACTGAAACCGGAGATCTTTGCTACCATCATGGACTTCTTCGCTAGCGGATTGCCTGTAGTCACTGATGCTAAGCCGTCTGGTGAAACACGTAAGTAAAACGTTCTATGTTTAAAAATTATCATAAAGTTTTAGGTAAAATCCAGAGAAAGAGACCATTGCCCTAATGAAAATTGTAAATACATATTTTTAACGCAGCTTGGGACGTCCACCCACGACATCATAAAGGTAGCAGGAAAGCGCTGGATGCAGGCCACTACCAACCGGGTAACATGGAAAGCATTGGGGGAGGCCTATGTTCAGCAGTGGACGTCCTATGGCTGAGATGATGATGATGATTTTAAGTGCCACTACATTGTGTTTATAATAATGTTACATATTATTGTAACTTTCCAGAAATAAATGAAGATGACGATGAAATTGTCCAGATGATCAAAGAACTGCTGGATACACGCATCAGGCCTACAGTCCAGGAAGATGGTGGAGATGTCCTGTTCGTTGACTTCAAAGACGGAGTGCTGACACTGAAAATGCAGGGTTCCTGTTCATCTTGCCCTAGCTCTATTGTAACATTGAAAAATGGGGTAAATACCATAAATAATAGATATTTTTAATTATCAGTGAGATTTTTTCCTGTCCTAATTATAGGACATGTAAAAAAAAGAGCAAAGTGAACCTTCTTTTCTTTTCTCAAGTGACAGATGTTAATTGGAAAAAAAAGAAGAGATTAATTTACTATACAAAACTTTTTTCTTTACTACAGGTGTTGTAGGCACATTGGCCATTGATTTGTTTGGTTCTAGCAGAGAAGAATAGGACAAAACAAACATTACACACACAATAATGGTTCTATGGACTTTTTCAGGTACAAAACATGATGCAGTTCTACATCCCTGAAGTTCTATCTGTAGAACAAATAGACGACGAAGGCGATAAACTAAGCGAGAAAGTCTTCAAAGAGTTCGAGCAATTAAAATCCAAAGAGAAAAGTGATTAGAGAGGTATAGAATCAAAGCTGTAAGTAGTTTGTAAATAATGCACTGGAATTACTTTAAATATGTGATAGTGTTGTTTGTTAAGTAATTAAAATGATTTATCAATTAAAAATGTTACTTTGAATTATGATTTTCATTTGAAATATCTAGTACTTTTAGAATGACTTAAAACTATTGGGAATTTTGTGTAAAAAATGTCCTTCTTTTTGGATCAGTGAGTAAACTTAATTGAAATAAAAGAACAAATTGAAAAGCCTAATTTATTTTATATGACATAAATACAGTGAGTAAAATGGTATGCTCTATAATATGTTAAGTACAACTATTGTTAGTAAGTCAAAAAGTATCTAATTTACAAATGTACGCATCTTATTTAATAGTTTCATTTTCTAAACTAAGCAGCATCATCAAAGTATAAAAATTATTACATAATAATATAGCACCTACTTTATGTTGATTCAGCCTCACAACTTATAGTTGGAAGTTTTATATAGTGTAATATTGCCTTTTTTAAAATCAATCAAATTGTAAAGCTTTTAAAGAAAAATTGTACTTAATTAACATTTTCTATTAGTACACAGTAATATAAACATTTGTCAATAAATAAGCAATGTGGTGTAATTTTTATACCTATTTTCTTTTGCGTGACCACACATTTAAGGCAAAAAATTACTCAAATAAATGAAATTATACATTGGCAGTGATATACATTAATATTACATGTATACTATCATATACATAATCAAATAAGGTACATAATGTTATTGATACTTTCAATCAAATACTAAAATTAAGACGTAAATTGTGATTCTAAACTATTAGTTTAGAATTTTAGATAATTATTATAATATATTACTTAAATTCTAAAGTATGATCTGAGAGATCAATCTTTATTGTCAACCTGTCTAATATAATTAGTAATTTCTACCCTCTTTATTTATCAAAAAATTGGATTATTTATATACTTTTACATAACACCCATGGCAAATCTAGTGAGAATGAAAATAGGCCAAATTTTATTATAATAATCCCTACTACAGCAAGATAGAAAGAAATAGTTTCGTAAGAACCCTGATGAAACAGAAAGAAAACTGAAGGCGTGATTTGTTACATGCTTCGAAAAAATGCGTTAGAGGATCTTATTTGATTCAGTCAATTTGCAACATTAAACAAGGAATAATTTAATTTTGCTTCAACACTAGATTATCAATCGATTGTAGATTGGCACATCTTTCTTAACTATGTCAGATTAAAAGATTACGTATCAAGTTCTGAACTAGCGTCATTTTATTAGTACTTACATAGAGGAATCGTGCCTAATAGAAGTACACAATATGCACAAAGTGGTTGGCTTGCCGTTTTTGTACTAAAAAAAATGCAGGTAGATGGCGCTTGTTTTACGAGGGTAGAAAATTAAATGTCCGTTGCCATGGCAACGCTCACGGGTTACACCGGCACACGCAACAGGACGGGAATAGGAACCAGTCCATGAATATGCCGGCGCAGTCGTCGGTAGGATCGTAGGCTAACAGGCGGTGCCATTTGTATTTCTGTTCGCAACCGCAGTCGTTGGAGCAGCGGGATGTTGTCTTTTTGCTGGAAATTTAAGTTTAGCGTTATTTAAACATGAAAAGTGTAGGATAAATGCACGGGATGACTTTTTGGTCAGTGCCCAAATTAATAAAAAGTTTTAAAAGTTTTGCCTAGGACGCTCTTGAATCTCAGATGCGTGACGGTTTAAGTCTAAAAAGTTAATAGGTCTCTTCTTACAACCCACAGGAAAGAAGAAGATACTCGTATTATAGTGTTTAACACCTGTGTCTCCTGTATAAACAACTACATTGTGTGAATTTCGTTCCTAATTTTTCTTTTTCATTATAGTCTCCAAGGTGCTTTAACAGCTTCATCTGTCGTCATAGCAGTAAGTGCAGAAGGCACTCAGTATGCTAACGACTTCATAAAATTTTATTTACTGATTAAAAACATCTTAGTTACTAATCTATATTTTCTTTCTAAGGCAGTGGTTCCAGCCAAAATCTGGCAAATGTTAATTAAGGATCCATTAAATTGATTAGCAAATTGCTTATTGTCATAAGGCTTCCTTAGAAGGCGACATGATAATACAGACATGATAATCAAGACCACAGACACGTAGATAGATATGTGGATGTCAATTGATTATTTAAACATCGATTTAGAAGCATTTATAATAGTTGTTTTGTATGATCTCACGCATGCTTTGGTTCATTTGCTAAGTTGAAATGAAGGCGAAATATTTAGTTTCAGAATGTCTCCCAATTTTGCATCCAGTGCCTTTCTGCTACCATTATGAGGTCGTCAGTCCACCTTGTGGTTACTTACCTGCAGACTTCCTGGTGTATGGCTTGCTCGAAGTGCATCGTGTTGACTATGGCCCGGAGCTTCCTCGCTGAGTTCAGAGCCCAATACGGGGTCATGATCTCAGTTTTGCTCTCACACGCGTCAACCCTGAAATGATATGAGATGCTATTAAATACTATATTTTTAGTTTTACCTACGCTTTCAAATGTTATGGCTAGTAGGTAAGCTTTTAGGGACTTTCAAATTCCAAATCCCATCAATATCATCATAATATGCAACTTACATTTTACTTAACTACTAGCTGACCCGGCGAACTTTGTTCCGCCTTAATGGCAATAAATAAGCAGACTTCTTTTTTATTTCGAACGGGAAAAAAAGTATCCTATGTCCTTCTCCTGGCTCTAAACTACCTCCCTGACAATTTTCAGCTAAATCGGTTCAGCCGTTCTTGAGTTATAAGTGGAGTAACTAACACGACTTTCTTTTATATAGATTTTTTTAGTTAAAGTGCACGGGCACGTGATTCCAGTCTACTATAATTGGGACCATTGATGTGTTTGTTGGTAAACCGAATTTTAGAATTTAGAGCAATATCATCATCATCAGCCTATGGCTATCCATCCACAGCTAGCTATAATAAGCACTTTTGGATAAGCGTCATTTTAGTATTCCACCCCTCTCTTCGGCTTGTCTTAGCGAGTCCTTACTCCACCAACTTGACGGGAGGACGTCATTATGCTACGCTTACTGTGCCGCAGTTTCCACTCAAGAGTCGAAATTCACATCCGAAAATCGAACGGAAATCCAAAAACAAAAGAAAAAGAAGAAACAATCTCACCTGCCAGTGCTGTTAACCGACTGCGCATCAGGTAGTTGTGTGTTGCTGGCCTGCCGCGCATGTCGAAAATAGGAGTCTCCTGTATGCATGTCGGGAACCCCCGGCGCTCGCCGCACCCTGTTTCCGCCGGGGGTCGCGAATGACCCGTACATACGCTTGATGAGAGCCTTATTCTCGTCTATGAAATTTTCTATTTTATCTCTGGAACAGAAAAGTTTTCGGTCACAGCAAAAATTAGGTAAATAATGTAAGCAGTTAAGTAGTGAGGTCTAAGTAAAGTAAGTACACAGCATTTAGGCTGGGTTGCACTATCTTGCTTTAACTATCGTTAAAATCTATCAAACCCCATACAAAAAACACCGGTTATTGTTAAAGTTACGGTCAAAGTTAGGTGGTGCAACTCAGCCTTAATGTACTTAGTGGTGCTATTCTGCGCCAAAAAAATTAAAGTAGGTATAAATAAGTGCTGAATAAAACCTAGATGCAAGAGAGGAGACGTGGCATTTCTCGAAATATCTTCTGTCCTAGGCAATCTACACGTTTAACTGCCTGGCCTAGTGGTTCGCATACCGGACTACCTACTATGCCACAGGTCGCGGGTTTGTCATAAATTGGGAGTAGACATCGTAGTATAAAATGTTCAAGGATCAATCCTTTCAGTCACAGGACGCACACTGCTGAACATAGGTCTTCCCCAATGATTTCTAGATAGGTATCTTACGTAGGAAGACGAAATCGCTAATAGGACCTTCGCGACCGCCACGTCGATAACTGGCGAGAAGTGACGCAGAAGAGACCGAAATGAAGATTTATCGTCAGAGACCAATGCCCGTTTTCACCATCAATCCCTAATTTTCAAGTGACCCCTATGAAAACAAAATTCCTGTTATGTGATATGCGTTTTACCATAGGGGTCACATAAAAATTTGGGATTGATTTGATGGTGAAAACGGGTACCACTTTGGGTCGCTGCGCCAGCTTAAGTAGTTAGTTTAGTTACGCAGATGTATAAACTGTACTTACAAAGGATAGGTGTTACCGGCAGTCGGACAATAGAGCTGGTAGTTGCGTTTGACGCACGGGACGCCCCTGATGATCTGCCCCTGCAACTCATAGCCCAGCGCTAGGGAGAGCGCGGTCCATAGTATCTGGAAAAAACAGAAATACATAAGTAATGTCAGTTCGTTCGTTCGTTTCAGCCAAATGACGTCCACTGCTGGACAAAGGCCTCCCCCAAGGTTTTCTACAATGAACGGTCCTGCGCTGGCTGCCTATATGTCAGTAAAAAGAAGGTAACCATAGAGTTCTACACGCCCTAACTTCACAAACTAAACTAAGCAGGTAATAACCCTCCTGGCGCAGTCGGGTAAAAATGAGACTTGTGGCATGGCATGAATTAGTATTGCTTGGCGCTTGGACTTATAAGGATGACAAAATAATATCTTTGTGATTTAGTACGTACGAATATTAATCTAATAACAAATAAAAGACCTAATAAAATAAGTAAGTACTTAGATTTATATGATGACTTTTGAAGAAAGTGAAATTGAGTAAAATTATTTAGTACCTAGTAATTAAGTAGGTATTTGAATGTCTTAATTACTCATCCCATTAAAATGTGATGCGCATAACAAACAATAAGTAAGTGGCTATAAATAATTATTTAGATAAACCTAAGGTACCTAAGTCACAAAATTTGTAAGTAACGAACGCCCACAAAAGTTATGTTGTTTTGCTTCTTGTTTGTTCTCTGCCTAAATAACCAAAATCACGTTGAACAAAGGTGTACCTACTCACAGTTGGAAATAACCATAGCGAATTCATATCCGCTGGTACACGTCTGCTGCCTCTTACACTCTAAGCCTCACTAATTAACTGAACTAATTCAAAACAAACTGCCAAAAAAACGAGAACCTTCATGCGGAACGTCTTCCAAACTTCCTTTG